GATATTGGTGGTTAATTGAAAGTGATATATGATATGAAACCTGAAATGCTGAAAAATGCAACTCCGTTCATCGTCACAATCGTGTTTTGAGAGCTTGACCTGGATGTAATAACGGAATGCAGTTGCAACAACATCGTCTAGATGAAACAGCAATCAGTTTCGCTTCGATCGTTCGCTTGAAACCACTCATTTCGATAAGAAATTCCTTAAGATTTCTTCGAATAGTTTCTTCAGGTTCCTTCGGCGACATTTTCCCATCCATTTTTTGCAGCTATCATCCGCTTAGGTATTTCAGATTCACGTTTAGCCAGTTCATTCGACCAGTCATGCAGCAAAAAATGCTCAACGAAATTCTGGTCATGCATGAACATTGTCCTTTCAACGGCTCAATTTGTTCCTTCTGCAGTTTAAAAGACTGTTGCTGATGAAAAGTAATGCAACATCCAGTTTTTGGTTTGATAAGAGTTTGGTACCTCACCCAGCAGGTACTCCTAAATTTATCTGCTGCTATTCTTCAGCAGAAACATTTCCCGTAGTACCGGCTTATTGAATTTTCCACTTAATGAATTTTAGTCGCATAGTTCACTTGCAAAGCCGTTGGAAGTTTGTTCATTGCGCTCATCTTATGACAGATCAAATCCAGCATCAATTCATCTCATTTAAGACGAGACGTTTTCATCTGCTCCTTTGAAGTTATGTTCACACCACAACTTAGCTCATTAAGTTCTCCACGATTTAATATCATTCAGAAAAACGTTTACGATGCAAAAGGATCATGTTTTGTTGGAAATAACAAATTGGGCTGTGAGTGCAGAAACTGCGTCATTAAGATAATTGCTCAATAATTTAGTGACTGTTTATGATTGTTGCACAAACAAACAAAAAAACATTATTCGTTTACTGTTGCGTTTTTGCAAGTTGTATGAGTGGTGTTGCTGCACTTCATCGCTATTTATTATTCGAACCTTTTAAGGCGATAATTCGATTGAAGTGCTTTACCGTCCTATTATCAATTATCGTCGCGTTGAAACGCTACATTGGCCGTGAATGTTTGCCGATTCACTGTTTCGTTCCACTTCATATGCCACTTCCAACATCATGTGATTTCCTTCAACACATTCTCTGTCAGAAAGTGTTTTTTTTTCAGCACTTTACGGTAGGTACCCTTCAACTTTCTTCTGTACGATTGGCGATGGCTCGTTCGTTTCCGCCATAGAAAATGATTCGAGTCAAATGGAAACTTGCCGCTGAACAACGTCCTTCTAACAAGCTATCAGGCTGAAGATCAAAGCCTGACATTGAGATTAAATCTATCCATTTTGAGAGTTGTCGGTTAAAAAGCTGAAAGTTGATGACGAAAGCTGAAGTTTTGCACATTCTGATAGAATGTCAAAGTCGTCCGAATCGCTCAAAAACACATCAACCTATTGTAAGATGCTGGGAATTTTACACTCATATTCACAGCAATGTTCGTTATGCTAATCAATGCAGCAAAGAGCCTCAAACGTGCATCAACCTGAAGATCTTCCTCATATCATTTAGAACACACTAAACAATTCGTTCGGCGAATCGCATCATTAATCAGACAAATTTCATTTCCTGAAAACTTGTCACATTTTTTCCTCTGAATAATTCATCCTTGCAGTACAGATTTAGAACTGAACAACGGGTTTTTGAGAGGCATCAATAAACAACAATGAAAGTCATGCTGACGGATATGATCAATATTGTTTTTTCAACATCGCAGTCGTTGTGATAGTTCGTCAAAAATTTTAAACGGAACCCGGAAACAAATTTCAAACGAATCGTAACAAACTGTATTAATAATATTTATTAGTTAAACGCTCGCTTTTTCTTTTTACCGTCTTTGATTTACTGAATTATCGATTCCACGGAATCAAAACTAACATTCGGCTATCTAAAATTCAGAATTGAAACATTTAATGCTGATCCCTTCGATGAACCGAAGTGATGTTTTTTTTTTTCATTTCCCTACCTACTTTGAGCTCTATCCTCTCTAGAAATCACTGGATCGAACAAGAATGTTACCAGTCCGCTTTTCGGCTGCCTCAGTTAATGATGGAGAAAAAATTGTCATGAAGGTCAATGTACGTCTTTAATTCCGTTCGCTTCATAGAGAGAAGGATGCCCAAAGAATGAATTATATGATACTGTCGATGTGATAAAAAAAAAGAGGTATCACTCGCAATTTAGTTTAATTGTGCTGATTGACGAAGTGTTTCAATAGTTGCCTGAATGAATGAGTAAATGAGCTGGTGTGTATTTCGTCGTCATCGTGGCATTACTGCGTCAATCAATTTGTCTGTTTTCATCAAATTATTTTTGTCACGTATTTTCGTTCCTCCAGTTTCATTGACAATTAGCGAAACAGCCATTTGGAACATTCGAAACGTCTCCAAACATTCTTATTTCTGAGCGAACTTTACAGTTTTTTCCTGCTCAATAATTCCTGCTCAACACTGTCTAGCTCTCATTACACATCAGTGGTTTGTTGCAGCATTTTTTTAAATTATATCATCAAATTGTTTTGGCTTCTCAACTGATGTCCGTTTCAACTGTATTCGAGCTGCTTGGGTCACACTGATATTGAAATTGTTCGATCCATCCTAAATACCACAGGAGAGTGCTTCGCTGCAATCGATTCCCCGCTTAAGAACGCACCAGTTTTACTCTTGACTTGCTTACAGCATCAGCAGAAATTTTCAATTTTAATATACTTTCAGACCATTTTAAAGGCTTACAACAAGTGCACGTTTTCATATTGGTCAGCAATTTCCGACGCATCAACTCAGTGACCAGTCACCAATGCAGTTGGCCTCAAAAGTGTTTAAGTTTTTTCTTTGATGACATGACATGCATTCCTCAACCTTCTCTTGATGAATTTCTGTCATTGCGTACTCTCAGCATTGATCATCAGTGATTTTCCTGATCATTTAGATGCAACTGTGCTCTCAAGGAGACTCATATTTGGAATGACTGATACAAAGTTGATTATCTAAACTTAAGCAGTCTTTTATAAGCCAATTATGGGGATGCACTGCATTGTCACGTGCATGAATCATGTAACAATACAGCTGAATGAAACAGTCAAGACAAAATTCGCAGCTTTCTCGCCTTCGAAGTGCTGTCGCATCAAAACATCTTCTC